ATGGCACAGAACAGAGGGAGAGAGGAGCAGGCTAAGACGATGGCACAGAACAGAGGGAGAGAGGAGCAGGCTAAGACAATGGCACAGAACAGAGGGAGAGAGGAGCAGGCTAAGACGATGGCACAGATCAGAGGGAGAGAGGAGCAGGCTAAGACGATGGCACAGAACAGAGGGAGCAGCACCCAGACTCTTAGGCTTGAGCCCTGAGGCTTGCTGTCCCACAGAACAAGTTAAGTGGCTGCCTTTGGGCAGGAAGCTGGCTTACAGAATGGGGTGCCCTTTGGTCATTTATCAGGTAGAGGAAGTTTGCAACACTTGCTCGAGCAGAGCAGAGGCCAAGGAGCTATATGAGTGAGAGGTTGAGAGCTGTGCCTTCTAGCGGGGCTGAGTAGAAATACTATTGTGGTTGTGGCCTGATAACTTCCTTAATAACCCCCCATAATCATACATTTTAAGAATAAATAAATAAAAGGCGTTACAGTCTTGGAAACTCACAGGGGCAGTTCTACCCTGTCCTGCAGAGTCTCTCTGAGTTAAAATTCACTCCATGGCCATGAATTTGGTTTGGGTATGGTGGTCAAATGGGCACTGAATAAATATTGGTGCATTCAGTGCTATTCCCCTAAGAAAGGCCCAGCATTGCAGCAAGCTCTGGAATCATGGAACATAGACAAGGAAACAAGGCAGAAGTGCACGTTCAAGGAACTGTTTCAGCAGCTGAGCAAGTTTCCTTCTAGGGCCACACCAACTGGGCAGCAATCAGTTACATTTCATCAGAATAGACAACCCACATCATTCAACTTTAGAACAAGCAAACCCTGCAGAACTGAATATTGTTGTCCACATCCTTTCCTGATCAAGGATGAAGTGAAGCCCATCTCTGAAGTGCAATGGAGAAAGGCCTGGATTAGCGCCCTGGCTCCCATGTCAATGAAAGTCTTACATAACCTCTCTGATCTCCCCATCTGACTTATAGATCTAAGATCTCCCCATCTGACCTACCTCTTTCCTATACAACTAAAGAGCATAGATCTCTAATCTGGCATCCACACACTAAATATTCCTGAGAATATACCATGTACCAGGCAAGGTACTACATACTGGAGATATGAAAGATGAAGGTACCAGTGTCCTTGTCCTTAGGAAGCTGTGCCATATGTCAAACAAGGAGGAGGTGGCACATTTTCAGCTAATGTAACTGCAATGTGATAAGTGCTACCTTAGCAGTATGAATAAAATGGCTATGGGGGAACAGGAGCCAGAGGAATTAATTATGCCTGGCAGGTACTGCTATTCCAGGATGTTATTTTGATTGTGACTTTCAAAAAAATCATTATAGCATGGAGGGGAAAAAATTTGTGCATTTTTCAGGAAATCAATAGCCAACTACTTGAACTATCCCTAATTATAAAAATTACTGTAAGTACATTACAACATATTGTTTCCCTGTTTAGAACAATCCGTGACCCACTCACGTTTATAACTAATAACAATGCTAGTATATTTTATGAGCAATACCACATTATATCAGGGAAAATAAGTCTGATGCTATTGCCAATAACTGCGTAGGAGAAGCAGCTACCTAGAGTCTTTCATTGAAAACAAACAAGCAAACAAAAAAAAGACTCAGTCATTGGAATTAACTAAGCTATTATTCTTGATTATTCCCAAAGTCAGAGTTATCATGCATAACTCACTCCACAAATCAAGACGAAATATTTTGTGCAATTAATTCAATATGACTCATTGTCTCCAAACACCCCACTTCCAGCACCACCAAGGCTTTTTGCTGGAGTTGACACACATAAAAGAATGACTTGTTTGAGTTGACTAATATCACTTATGGAGGAAATGCTGAGATACAAAAATATTGCAAAGTATAAAAATAAAGCAATTGATTCTATAAATAGAACCTGCTCACTGTATGTTTTGTAATAATTTTTTGCCTGGCTTAAGCTGAGTAACTTTTCTTCCTCCCTTTCCAGCTACCACCGAATGTTGGAATTAGAAAGAACCAAAGAAATGCAGTAATCCAACTGAGTCACTTTACAGGTATCCCCCAGGATCATACCTGGCCTATCAATAATCTCTTTATGGATAGTCATATGCAATGCAAGTATCATAGGAAGTAAGGCTTACAGTGATCTTGTAAAATACTCATCTTTAAAAACAGAAAGGTGAAAGGAATCAAGTCAAATGATGCCACATACACCAGTCAAGGCAGCTGCAGTCTCTCCATTTGATGTAGTGGCAGGCGGTTCCAGCTGCAGATGGATCGCCTCCCTACCAAGCCAATACTGTTACGATCTGAACAAACTTGGGCAATTTTCCGCATGAAATCACTACCCCAGAAAAAACAACTGCCACTCCACAAAGCAGCAAATGGCACTACATGGGGATTCCGGAATTCGTTAGAATATGATTTATTAGAGGAAAAACTGTAAAACCCAATGTGCCTGAAGGGCTAGGAATAAAAACAGTGCTACATTTTGTCAACGCCAGTCCAGAGCAAGTAGCCCACAGAAGAAGGAACTGCAACAGGGCATTCTACCACACTCACTTTCTCTCCCAGACAGCCACACCGTCAGCCAAGTCACCCTGTGACTCTAATCCCTTCGTAGTGGGAAATACTCATTTTCAAAATGAATCCCCAATCTAGAATGAATTACCGTAATAGCCACAGCCGGATCGAGTCTGCTGATCAGTAACGCAAATCCGGCCACCTGCTTTGAGACGCCTTGGACCACCACCTGGCCTGAGTCTGTAAATGCTGGCCTTTTCCGTTGGGGCATCTGCCCTGCTAACTCGCGTTTAAATCCCAGGGAAGGATGAAATGCCTCCCTTAATCATCGAACTATGCTGCTTTTCCTGTATCCGTTTCTGCTGAACACAGCACTGTGATCGTTTCAAGGGAGAGAAAGAAAGGCGGGGGAAAAACCCCAAGAGGGGAACTGCACCACTGCAGAGCCCAACCCACGAGAAGTGAGCACACAACTACAGCAACGTCAAATACCTTCAGCAACTAGGAAAATCCCCACAAGCTCTCTGGTGCCTGCCCATTGCAGACTGGGGCGCACTGTGCCCGTTATCACGAGAAGCCCGGCTGCTCTGCAGCCTGTGTCCCTGCCAGTTCCCCCCCACCCCCACCCCCCACGCGCTGGTATTCTCCAGGCAAGAAGTTATGATGCCCAGCTTCACGGTGCAGAAAGACAGACAGATCCACTCTCTGCAAACCAGCCAAGTGGCCGGGACGTCAAAACAGCTAGTCATCACAGGGGAGCTTCTGCGCGGGGCGTGGGGGACACGCTGTTGGATCCCTGGAGTCTTGCTGCATTGTCATGGCCCGGGAGTCGAGCGGTAGAAGGAAGCGCACGTCCGGTCGGGAATCAGAAGGTCCCCCCAACCCCATCTCCCAAAGCGGCTCTCCGTGTCCAGATCGCAATACAGTAGGCGACAAGATAGGCGACACGACTGGCAGCTCCTGCTGAAACTCAGGTGGCAGGCCCCGGGGAGCGGTACAGCGGGCCGGGAGAACGCACGCAGCGCCTCCCTCCATCACCGCCCTGGGGACCGCGGCCGGGCCCCCAGTCCCCCCCGTCCCCGCACTCCTGGGCACTCGCTCCGCTCCCCGCGGCACGACAGGGGACACAAGGGTCCAACAGTCAGCCAGAGGCCAAGCCCCCGCCGGAGCTTGGGTGCCCAAGAGGTGGGTGTGGGCTGGGAAGGGGGATTACGTAGATCTCGACTCCTCCTCTCCTGACACCTCCTCGCCACTGGGAGGGCGCAGGGGGTGGGGGAGGCGCCTCCAACCCGCTTGGGGGCTTCTTTGTTTCTCTGCCGGCCCCTCGGGAGGGCCTGGTGCGCCGGCGGGACCCTCGCCTGGGTCGCCAGCTGGGGATGCCCGTCCCCCACCCGACCCCCGGGGCGGCGGCTTGGCTCAGGTTGACAATTGAACCTCGCGGGAGAAGCCAGAGGGTGGGGAGGAGGGTGGCTCCCGGACCCCGCGGAGGGTGAACGCCGCCGGGGCCTCGGAGCGACGAAGAAACCGCCCAGAGGAGGGCAGGGGCAGCAGAGAGAGTTCCCGCCAGGCGCCCACTTACCTTGGCAGCCCCAGCCTGGGCACAGATCATGCTCCCATCCGCGCGCAGCTCCGAGCCGGGGGGCGCACGTGCCCTGCAGCGCACTCTGGGCGTCGCAGCCCTGCCCGGGGTACCTGGACGCCCGCCCGCTTGCGCCGCGCTCCGGCTGCCGGGCCCCGAAGCGAGCTGCAGCCGCCGTTCCTGCCCCAGGGCCGCGCCGGCTGGTGGGGGGGGGGGAGGGGGGGCGGTGAGTGAGCGGACGGAGAGGGCCCCCCACGGTCCGAGACGCCGGTATTCCGGCTCTCACCACCGCGCCTGATGCGAGCTAACACGGCGCACTTCCTTGCTTTATCCTCCCGCCCGCATCCCCTCCCTCCCTGCTTGCTCCTCTCTGGGTACCAGACTCCTGAACCAACCAACAGCCGGTTTCCTCCCATTAACACTGCCCCGCCCCGCAGCCTCGGCGCGCAGCAACCACCCTCCCCCCCTCCCCGCCGCCCACACCGTACGTGCGTATATATTGATTCTTGTTACCGCTGGCACGGCCCTTCCAACACCCCAACACCGGCAGTAGGCATATCCAGCACCAGCCGGGCCCACAGGCCCTTTTGTGTGTGTGCAAACAATGTGCTTAGAAAGGAGGCATCAAGCCTCCTAAGACAGGTGTTCTGGGCCAGCGTCGGACATGCTTTCCCCAGGTACCTCCCTACAGTTATCAACACTCCCGAGCACCAGCGCTGTCCTGTCTTTGCGCCTCACGGGCACAAAATGAACACCGCAAGTACAGTTGGGAAAGATGCACACAGCCGCTGCAAACCTATTGTTAGACAAGTCTGGTTTTCAAACCGGGATTTATATTAAACTGCCCAGAGTGTCCACGGGCTTCCTCGAGTCTAGAAGGACGCTAAGTCTAAATCTCTCCTTTTCCAGCCCACCAAAGTCAAAAGACACCCAAAGAGATGTGACCTGTTGGTGGCCCGGCTGTTAGTAGCTGTGCTGGTTGCCCCACGTGAATAAGCCTAGTTGCATTTGGCTGATATTTGTATGTATCTCATAAGATGCAATGGTTTTGAGCACATGATTTTCAGAGTTTACATTCTTTACAGTGCTGTATCTTTCTGTCTACTCACCTGCCCAGCATCCTCTATAGAAGAGATCTTTCACATCTAAAAAGTTATCCTCTGCCCTATTGCAATGACAGGCCTTCTTTAAAATAAACAAAGATTTGGTCTCCAGTTCATCAGTGAAGGGAGAGCCTCCTGGAAGCATGAATCCAGCAGGGTGGAGGGAGGAGAGCAGAAGACTCTCCTTCCAGATTTCCTTACTTAGGTCCTGCTCCTGGACCTAAAAAACCAAGTCTTCTGCTCTCCTCCCTCCACCCTGCTGGATTCATGCTTCCAGGAGGCTCTCCCTTCACTGATGAACTCTCTCTCAAGACCTTCTGCAAGTACAAACCTGGGGAAGGCAGCTGAGAGGAGGCAGGGATATCACCTGGCCCTCCCTGGCCTTACCCCTGGTCTCCACTCTCCTGATTGACACCTTCCCCTTGCCAGACATCAGTCAGATCTCTCTATCAGCTGAGCTCAAAGCTGACCACTTGTCAAATCCAAACATAAAGTCAGACACAGGTTTCTCTAGGAGATTCTACACTTGAATTAACATCAACACCTCTCTGAAGAAAATCCTCCAGGAACAGCCTCTGCAGACTGCAGCAATACCCAGCAATAGTAACCAACTCTAGGGATGTTTCCAACCAGAGACATAAAGGAAACAAAACTGCTGCCATAAATCAGTATCTATAGATCCAAACTAGCAGAATGCCACCAAATCAGAATAATGGATCATTCTTGAGCTCCACTGATTGCCAGGATGCTCCTCACATTATTTTCAGCAACACGGACCAATGTAGTCCATCCATTTCTCTCAGCTGCATCTATCATAGAGGTTTGGGCCCAGTTGCCTTCTCTTGTCAAGTCATTCATGTGACAGTCGAGAGGTGTGTTTGATTTTTCCCTCAAGGATTAAAAATATATATATATATATGAAAATATAAGTACACCCAGCTTCACATTTTCCTTTTACCAGAGAATGTCCTTGAAAAGCACCTACTACTTAATCCTCAGATGATGGGAGAAGCTGTGTTATATGAAGACCGACATCAAGATTGGAAGAAGGCTCATGAACAACCTGACATAAGTAGACGATAACCTTCCTTGCTGAAAGCCAAGAAGACTTAAAAGCACTCACTGTTGAAGGTGGCAGACCACAGCGTTCAGTATGGATTACAATAGACAACATTATGATAAAAAAAATTGAAGTAGTCAAGGATTTCATTTTGCTTGGATCCACAATCAAGCATATAAGTAACAGAAAATTAAAGGAAATATGCATTGCACTGGGCAAAATTGCTGCATAAGATTGTTTTAAAATCTGTTTGAGAACTAAGGTGTACCTGAGATTTTTAATCACTTTATATGCATGTGAAGCTGAACAATGACATTTGAATTATGGTGTCCAGATACTGAAAGGTTTGTTTGTTTGTTTTTCAACAATGTGAACTCAGGATTAGTTTTGATTCAAGACTGGGGGAGTATCTCAAAGCAATAGTCTCAAGGTATCCTCCAAACTCGGCCTGTCTTGATCTGGTGGTTCTTTGGGGGTGGTAGGGGAGGGGGCTAGGAATTGGAGGTTCTGGTCCATATTTTTCTCCCACTTAATAGTATGCATCTTTAACTAACCTGATTAGAATGGTGGTAGTGGCAGTCAGAAGTCATCAAATTCTTCCGTCCTCAGGTGGATAAGCCCATGGTTTGTGGAGACTAATATAACCTGTAGGCTCCTTTCTGCTTAGTCTTTGATTTCCTTCTTCGTTTGTTCCAGAATTGTAAATACCAGTAATTTATCTTAGATGGTTGTTCAAAACTTTTCAGAACTCAGACACTATACATCAAACAAGGTTTTAAAACACAACTTTATTGCTTTTAATGACTTCAATTGACCAAAATTTTCCATAGGGCTGTAATCTGAGTCCTTCAAAGCCAGAAATCAAATCCTGAAAGGTGTGAGGTTATATTTAAGAAGTACTTGTGCATGAGTCCCTATCAGCTTTATTATATATATATAAATGTGTGCATCTTGTCACATAGATTCATATACATAGTCACACACACATATACCCCTAAACACATAGATGGCCCACACAACAATTGGTTGTGTGGCTGTTGTTTCAAAATTACACGTGCCATCACAATCACCAATCTGTCCTTTTTTGTGGACCGTTAAGTGACATCATTTAACTTTGCCAAGCTGTGTACACGTTACCCTCATACCGTAGTACTTTTCCCATTGCCAAAATTGCCAAGTGTGGATGATCAACAGCAGGGCTCAGCAAATGGCAGCTGGAGAGCCTTCAGCTACTCCGTCAGTATGTACATGATGCACCAGCTCTGAAGTCAAATGGAAACTTTTAAAGATTATTATTCAGATCATGGCGATTCCCTCCGTTTGTAAAAATATATTAATGGCTCACAAATAATTTTTAAATTGGTATGAGGGGCAGGATTGGCTCTTCTATCTCAAAAGTTTGCTGACCCCTGACCTAGAACATAGGCTTCCAAACTTATTTGTCCAAACTTATTTGTCCTACTATTCCCTTTACAGAAAAGAAAAAAGAATTACTCAGAGACCCCTGGCAATTAAGAACCTCTATACTATGGTCTGCTAGAACGTGTAGGTATTGCTCTTCAGCCATTGTCCAGGGCATTTCAGGGGCAGTATTG